GCTGGCTGCGCCGCCACCGCCTTCGGCGCAGGGCGGTTCGGCTTGGCCACACGGTGCGTGGTGTCCCTGCCGTCCATGGCGCCGCCCACCGCCGAGACCCACATGCCGACACCCTCGACCAGCTTGTCGGCCATGTCGAGGCGACGTCGTGCCGCATGGCGAATGCGCCCAGCAGCCGCTGCCGACTTCGCAGCTCTGTCGGCGTAGCTGTTGCCCAGCCAGTCCCTGTACGTGATCTTGCCTTGGTCAACGGCCTTCACGGTCTGGTGAGCGGGCACTTTTTTGACCAGCGGCCCGTCACTCCCCAGGCCTCCGACGTCGCAAAGCAGCCTCCAGACCTCTCTCCAGAGGTGGGCCCACGCCGCGCCATGCGCGGTGGTGCGCCTGGGCCCGGTATCCAGGAAGCCGCGGCACACGAAGCCGCTGTCCACGACCACGGTGACGGGCGGCATTGCGAGCCTGAGGACCATGATGAGCGCCATGAGCTTGCCGCCGTTGATGCCCACGTGAGGCTCGCACAGCATGCCAGACGCCCCGCACACGAAGATGTCCGCGTCCTGCTTGAGCGCGACGAATGCCCAGGCAACGCTGGCGTACCTCTCGTAGTCGCCCTCGAACTGCGAGCCATCGAGGAACAGCTCGCCTGACGGGAGATGCCCGTTACATTCTCCCAGCCGGCAGATGTGGGGCGATGGGCTGGGCTTCACAATCCCCGTCGGGGATGGCCAGAGCACGCGCTCCAGCAGGCACTTCACCTCGGGCAGGTCGGCCTTGGTCAGCAGCACGCTCATCGTGTCGGGCAGGCGCAGCTCGGGCGCCCATCCAGCGCAGCTGCAGTGCCTGTGGAGGAGGGTGCCGATCTCGCCGCACAGCAAGCACGAGTCGTCCACGGGCATGTCCTGCTCGCACTTGCGGCTCTGACACCACTGCCCGTTGGTCACCACCGAGGACAGGTACCCGCGCTCCTTGGGCGTGAGCCTGAGCGTGGACTGCTTGCCAGCTTCCATGGGGTTCGGCCCATGGCCCATCCGCACCGTTGGGACATCCTGAGTAAATTCCGACGCTGACTCCAGCCCAGCAGCCTCTGACCCTCTTCCAGCACTCGACTCACCTCCGCGAGGGCGCCGCTCACGAGTATCCAGCCCACCTCGCTGAGGCCCAGCTTCGCCGCAAACCTGGGGCCCTAGCTTCCGCGCGACCTCCTCCGAAACGGTCGCGGTCTTGCCGGGCCTGCCTCTCGTGCGCGGCTCCTCCGAAGGCGGCCACGCACCTGGCGATGCGGCTGCTTGCTCTCCGCTCGATGCCGACGGACGCTGGGCAGCGGGCTCAGAGGCCAGCTCAGGGCAGGCCGCCGCTGCCATCGGCGGCACAGGCGCCACTGCGGCGGCCCCGCAAGCAGCAGCTGCAGTACGCCTGCCAGACGCCGCGCCGAACTCCTCCTCCGCCTCGACCATGGAGCGCGAGTGCCGCGCCACCTGCTTTTCCCACTGTTGCATGTCGGACTGGGCCAGCCTGCGCATGTCGGCGTTGTAGTTGGCCCGAATGCGCCGCCGTGCTGCCCGGGCCGCCTCGCGGAAGTCCTGCGCCATCCTGAGCCTGACCATGCCCAGGTTGTCGATGCCGAAAGTACTCGCAGCCTCACTGAGGAGCGGCGCCCACGTTCCGTGCATCAGCAGGTCGGCAACGTAGGACACACACAGGCGCGGCCAATGCGCTCTGTCACCATCTTCGTCGAGCACAGAGACATCCTGGAGCCAGAACGTGGTGTTGGCCCTTATTGTTTTTCCTCGAGCGTCATGCGCGCCGACACGGCCGCCCGCCGTGCGGGGTCCTGGTCCTTGGCCTGCGTGACCTGCGGCTGTCTGACGGCGCCTGTGGTTGTCGTCTTCACCAGGGGTTCGATCACGCCGCCGTTGGCCAGGTGTTCGAGCCCAGACCCCTTGCTCACCTCTCGCCACTGCCATGCTTGCACCGCCCTCAGCAGGAGGCGCTTGACGGTCCAGGGGGCCAGCTCGAACGCGCCAATGTCGACTCCTTCGTGCGTGCGCCACGCGGTGGCGTTGAGCACCTGCCAGCCAGCCCGCTCGAGGGCGAGCCGCTCAGCACTGAAGGGCCCGCGCGCCTGGCGCCAGCTCACGGCCCGACGGCGGGCCATGCCGCAGGCGATGATGTGCTGGGGGGCCCAACTTTCCCAGGCCGCCCGCAGCAGCATCATGGAGGGGAAGAGCGTGGCCCTGATCATCGGTTCCAGCATGGGCGTCAGCATCAGGGTGAGCGCGCGCGGGCGCCCAGCTACGCCGGGGGCCGCCGCCTTGAAGGACTCCGTCCTCAGCGTGTCCAGCTCCATGGCGGCGCAGCCTGCGACTGCGACGCCGTAGGTCACGCTGGGCTCGATGCCAGCCCTGGCAACCCTGCGCGCGGCCTTCTTCCGCTCCGCTCCTGTCTTGAGAATCGCTACACGGCGTTGACGAAGCCCTGCCTGCACGAGCTTCTCCTGACGCACCTTGCGCACGATGCGCCTGCCAGGCGAGAAATCAACGCCAAGGTTGCGGTCGCCCTTGACCGACGCCCTTCCGAGCGGCCGGCGCAGACGGGCTGCCAAGCCGCGGCGCGCAGCTGGAGGGTTCGCCAAAGCCCTCGACTTCTTGACTACCACGTTGAGGTCCGCGACCTCCTTCGTCGCGCGCGCGAGCCCGCCGACCCGATGCAGCGCGAGGTCGTCCGCGACCACCGCCGGCGACGCGGATGGGTGCTGGATGACCAGGCTGTCGAGCGGCCCGATCAGGATGAGCTTCAGCAGAGAGGTCGCGAAGCCGTCGCCAGGCAGGATGGACTGCCTTGCCTTGTTTGCGCTAGAGGCCGCGCTGCCCATGCAGAGGACCCGCGGCGCGCATTACAGCTCCAGCGTCAACGTCAGCTGCCACAGCGGGAAGCCTGTTGCGATGGCAGCGCCCAGCAGCCAGCGGTGACGCACCTGCTCGAAAGCCTTGAGCAGGTCGAGCAGGACGGCGACCGCCACCCAGGATTCGGCGTCGCCTCAGTCGGCACCCCGCGGCGTGGCCCACTCCCCGATCGCAGCTTGATGCCACGCGGCTCGCTCGCAGCTGCGGCCAGCCGCCGCCCGCCAGTAAGGGCGATCATTCGCCTCTTCCCACTTGCGTGCGATGCCACGCCGTAGTCGTGCCTGCACTCTCGCCAGCACCATGGCGACGGCGATGGGCCCCACACCTCCGAGCCGCTTCTGGATGAAGCCGATCTTGGTGGTCATGAGAGGCCAGGAGGCGTCCCGCTCTTTCGCCGTGATGATGCCGATCAGGACCTCCAACGCCTCGTCGCACAGCTCGTCCAGCTGCCGCGGCCTCACCGCGCAACATGCCTGTTGTCGCCGTGAAGGAGCGCAGCACCTTGCGCAGCTCCTGGACTGTGGGCCTTGGCGGCCTCTCACCCAGGTCCGAGGGCCAATGCAGGCGCACCTGCTCGCAGGAGGTCCTCCATCAGCGACTCCACTCCACCCCGAGCTGCGTGACCTGCTGCCCGAGATCCAGGGGCTCGAACAGCTGCTTGCAGCCGCCGATGGATTCGTCGTGCTCGGCATCGCCGATGGGGCTCGGGTCGAACCCAGTGGGCAGGCGGGAGACGGCATGAAGACCACCACCTCCACCTTCGGCCTGCTGCTTCTCGACCCACTGCTGAAACTGGATGGCCCGCTGCGTCACGTCTCGCTCCGCCATCTCCAGCACGACCGCGTGGGCGCCCGCGCGCAGCTGCTGCAGCACGTCGGGACAGACCTCCTCCTCCTCCTCCTCCTCCTCCTCCTCCTCCTCCCCCTCCTCCTCCTCCTCCTTCAGGCGCCCCCTCCACTGTGGCAGGGGCTCCGTCTAGCAGTCTGCGCACACCTCGGAGAGCATCGAGACGCGCACCCGGCTGCTACGCGGCGGCGACGTCGAGCAGCACGCTGGCCACGCGGTGCATCCAGGTCGCCACCGCAGAGACTCGAGGCCAGCGCGCTCCAGCCACGGGGGGCCGACGGTGCCGGCTCTGCAGGGCGAGCTCGCCCTTTGTGCTTGACCCTGTCCCCTTCCACCTGGTAGATGTCAATCCATTCGTCCTCAGCGGCGTCGAGGAACCGCTGCCAGGCGGTGGTGAGATGGCCCTTGATGTTGCCGACGTGCTCGGACTCGCCCCTCGCCCTCTCATGCTCGCCAGCAAGCAAGCTCTTCAGTTCCTGGCTGATCACGCTCCACCGCTCGCCGCGCGCGAGGCGAACGCAGCCTGCAGGCCGCTAGACAGGGAAGGGCTTGGGCGCCTGGACCACCCTGACACAAGGCCTGCTACGCGAGGCCTCCAGCTTCAGGGCGACGGGCTTGTGCGGGTAGACAGGCGACCCACTGACCACGCGGATGTTGGTCACCTTGAGCCCGCGCGAGACGATGAACAGGTCAATCGTCCTCTTCGATTGCGCGCAGGCGGGCCCCAGCGTGTCGGCGACGACCGCATCGAGGAGCCTTTGCGCGCCAGACTTCACCAGCTCCTCCTTGGTGCAATTGAAGTCGCCTCCGGCCACGCACGGACGACCGTGCTCTCGCAGCCTGCAGGCCAGGTCGCGCAGCGCCTGGTACTTGAAAGCGTTGGCGCCGGCGCCTGACTGCAGGCAAATGTTGGCCAACGCTATGTCGCCACGCAGCGGCCCAGAGCGATGTGGCACGTGAGCACACCCTTCTCGCAGCACGGAAGGGCGCGACCCCAGCATGGTGGCAAGTCCATGCTCGCTGCGCACACACGTGAGCAGCCCCCTTGCAGCCAGCTCTCCAGCCAGCGATGGCACTGCGGCAAGCCCCCTACGACGAAGCTCCCCTTCAGTGTCCGCCGTGCGTGCTTGACCCAGTCGGGTCTCCTGAAACAGAATGACGCCGCAGCTCGTCAGCTCCTCGATGAGGCACCTGTCAGTATTCGAATATGCATTCATTTTCATCGACGCGATGCTCCAGGACTGAGTGCGGCTACCCCAACCGCGGCTTCGTGGCCTCGACCGCGGCCTCGTGCATCTGCTTGCGGTGGGCCTGGAACTCCTCGACGAACTTCTTCTTGTTTGGGTCGGATCCGACGCAGACGGAGGCGGCGGCCTTGAACGAGTCGCCCGTGGCGAAATCCAGCGGGTCCTTCTCGAGGTCCACGTCGATGTCTTCGCCCGCGGCGACGCCAGCAGCAGCTGCCCCAGCGGCTGCCCCGCTGCCGCCCGCTGGGGCGCCATCTTTGCCACCGCCCGCTGCGACGGGCTCAGGGGGCTGAGCCTGCCAGCAGCGCGCGATGGGGGCCCAGGATGTCCTCGCTGAGCTGGAGGCTTGGGTTCTCCGCGGATGCGCCCATGACGCCATCGAGCTTCTTCGCTTGGCTGATGAGTTGGCCGACGTCACACGTGGGCGCAGCTGCAGCCTTGGACGCGGCGTCGTCGGCGAGCGTGGCCTTCGCCTTGGAGGCGGCGGCGTCCAGCTCGACCTGTAGCTGCGCGACCTTCTCCTTCTAGAGGTAGGACGCCTGGAGCGCCTCGGCAGCCAGCTTCTGCTTTCTCTCGTAGTCCACGTTGGCTTGCTGGAGCCGTTTGCGGGCCTCGTCCGCCGCCACCTGCGCAGACTTGACCGTCTTGATGTCGGAGAGCGTGCCCAGCTGCTGCTGCTGCAGCAGGAAACGAGACTGCCGCAGGCTGTGCTTGTCACTGGCGGACAGCGTGACGGACAGCAGGTCGAAGCCAGCCTCGTTGAGTGCTGGGAAACGGTCACGGGCCTCGGGCGAGAGCTTGGGCGGCTGCGCCCCAGAGCTCCCGCCACCTCCACGCTTCGGCTTCTGCACAATGTGCCACGGGTGGGAGTCGCCAGCTCCATCCGCCCAAGCCCCGCGCGGTGGAGGACCACGATTGGCCGGCCGACAGCCCGCGCACCCCGCCTGCCGACGCTGCGCGCGCCAGCCCAGTGCGTTGAGCCGACTCACTCGCTGCGCCAGTGCCAGCGCCGCCGCCGCCGCTGCGATGAGGAGGAGCCATGCCGCGCGAGCGGCGCGCCGCAAGGGTGGCGGGCTCCTCACCTGGGGCGGACCAGGCAGAGACACTGGAAGACTGCCTCGGACAAGCGGTATCCTTGCAGGCACGGAGGCGCGGAACCCCCACTGTGCAGGCATCTTGAGCCAAAATGGCTACGGACTCAGGGGAGGTAGGCAGGAGTGGGGAGGAAGTCCGGGAGGGCGGGAGGAAGGGAGGGGAGAGGGACGAGGAAGGGGGGGAGTGTGGTGATGGAAGAGGAGGGAGGGAGGGGATGGGGGAGGAGGAGGAGGAGGAGGAGGAGGAGGAGGAGGAGGAGGAGAGGAGGAGGAGGAGGAGGAGGAGGAGGAGGAGGAAGAAGAGGGAAATATGAGGAGGAGGAGGAGGAGCAGGAGGAGGAGGAGGAGGGAGGATCGAGGTGGTTGGAGTCCTTGCTGGGAACTTTGAATGCGAGACTTGATCCCATCTTCGTGTGGATAGGCGTGTGCAGCGCCGTCATTCCAGTGTGCAGCGCCGTCAGCCCCACTCCTACTCCTTCTCCTCCTCCTTCTCCTCCTCCTCCTCCTCTACTCCTCCTCCTCTCTGGCAACGGTCGCGTGCTCTGCCCACGCAGAGGTCCGAGAAGCAGCGGCTGAGGGGGAGCGGGACTCCGAAGCAGAGGGGGGACCCATAAGGTCTTGACGATTCTTCTCCCAGCGACTTGCGGGAGGCAAGGTACATCGGGGTGCATCAGTGGGGAAGTCCCGAGGATTCCGTAGAAGTCTAGATTAATCGAAGTAGACCCAGAAATGACCATACGTCTCAAGGGGAATCGTGGAAGCCCCAGCGCGAGTCGAAAGATTGCAGAAGTTGCGAAAACCTCAGCGAGGGGATGGCGGGAGCCGCACAGGAAGAGGGATCACAATTTGGAGCAGGGCCTGGGCACGAGCACGCGCTCTTGACATTAGTGTTAAGTGGGGCATGTCCCATTACAGGAGGGATGTTCAAAGATGATCAAAACATAGTCAGGGAACGAGTTGTTCACCTTGATGATTTGTGTTGAAAATGTTTTGATTCGTTTCCGTTTTTCGTTCACAAAACCGCTTGTAGGAGGACATGCCCGACTTAACCCTAGTGGCCTTGAAAGCGGCAGGGCAAACAGAAGCATCTTGGTCAGGAAAACAGAACACAGATAGCTTACCGAAGCGGACCCAAACGATTCACCGAAGTGGTTTTGGCAGCCTGGGGATCCAAAGGATATTCGAAACGGGTTCGACGACGGTTCGGATCCAGGGAAAATGGAAGCGGTAAAACAACGGCGCCGGAAGTGTCAACAAGAACGGCTCCAGAAGTTGCAACCAATGAATCCCGAGAACGGTACGACAACATGCCCTGTCCCCAGACATGCGACGTCCTGATTTTTTCATGACGGCGTCCTCGGAACTCCCGACCCTTTTTCCCGGGGCCGGTTTGTCATCCTGAGTCGTTTTTTGACGGTCCTGGGGCCCAGCGAGGGCCCCCAGGGGCTGAAAATGGCGAAAACCTTCGTCCGGATTTTTGTTACGACGCGATCAGGTCTGGGTCGTTTCCAGGGCCCACGGAGCCTGTGACATGCGGCGGGGAATGCTGGCCTGGCATGTGGAGCCGCCGGTTCTGGCCCACCATGCTCTGGCGCAGCACGCTATCCACGTCCCGACCCCTGAGCGGCAAAGTCCCGAGCTTTTCCTCTTCTTCTTCTTCCCGATGCCGTGGAGCCCCCCTCTGAGGGCACAACTGTCCACGCGGGAGGGCCCTACACCAGGGGAAGGATCACGGCTGGAACTTTCCCAGCCACTCCTGGCAGGTAGCCTTGGCTCATCCTTCGGACGGCCCTCCTGCCCCACTTGCCAGGCAGACTGCAGGGGGTGAGGAATCCATTGAGTTGCTTAGCACTGTGAGCACCACAGTGCGCGCACGCAACCACGGGGTGGGCCACTGCCTGCAGGGATTCCTCGACCCGACAAAAAGCTAAACGATGCGCCTTCGGACCCTGCTGCTGCAACCGTTCGTTGGCATCACGCGCACGCGACGAGATAGACCCAGGACAGGTCTGCGTCGCGGGGGCCACAGCACGACAGCAGGCACACCGGGGCCTGTCGGCAGGCCCTTTCAAATCATGCATCAATTGAGGTGGCACAACTGCGAGGGGAGGAGGCGCACACACGCACGCATGCGGCGCGCAACGTGTGTCGTGTCGCGCGCGTCCACGTGCGCGCCCACCTCCCCAATCCTGTGCCCAACCTGCTCGACAAACTGCTCAGCCTGCTGCATGCGCCTCCGGTCGTCGGCGGGTGCGCGCGCGAGTTTGCCTCCAAACTTGGCCCAACCTATCTCTGCGTGAAATCCGCCCTGCAGCAACGTCGGACATCGTGCAGTGACTTTTGACTTTGCTCAACGAAAGCCCGTCGACGCAGAGTCCTCCGAAATCCTCCAGGGCCCTCCAGAAGACACGCCACCGACAAGCCCACGCCGAAGAGTGGGCCGTGGCCTCTTCTCCTCTCTCAGTCACCCCACGGAACACAACATCGGAATCGGTGACGGCCGAGATCGGCGGCACAGAATTCTGAACCAGAAAAGTCAACGCCTCTAATTCGGCCCCGTCAACATCATACACGGCCTGCGAGCAGGTACAGCAAACAACGTCCTCAACCCCGAGCGGTTCCTGCCCGCACAAGGTGCCGACTGCCCGGCCCGTACAGCACGGGGAACTCCGCTGGCTCTCGAACGCCGATCCGTCCAGAAAAGCTTCCCTGGCAAGCAGCACCCCAGGGCCCGAGTGCCGATGCCAAACCACGGCGTCCTGAGTGGGGCCCTCCACGAGGTCCGAGGGATGGGCCAAGGCGCCCTCTCCAGCAGCACGCGGGCCTGGGGCCTGCCCTGAGCGTGAGCCAGCGGGCCAAGCGCATCAGGGCACGGCAGCTCACGGCACAACTCGCACTCGAGATGCTCGTGCAGAAGCGTGCCAGGCCGCTTACTCCAGATTTCGTAATAAAAGGGAGGGGGTCTCATTTCGGGGGGGGTCTCTTCCAGGCTGTCTTGGAGGGCCTGGGGGGTCTGGGGACGATGTTTTGGAGGGTTCTCCCACGAGGGGGGGTCTGAAATGGCTCGTCTGGGAGGGTTGAGACCCCCTCCCTTTTATTACGAAGTCTGGAGTACACGTTCAGCACTCGTTATCACTCGTTATTGATGGCCTCGCGCGCCTCATGCTTCCTCGCGATGGGCCACTGGCCATTCACCATGCACGGCTTCAAGTAGGCACGAGCCTCGGGCCCCAGGGTCGGGAGGTCACGATTTTCCCCGCACCGAGGTCGTCCACCGGAGACCGCCTGGACCAAGGGTAACCCAACGGCACCAAACTCGAGGTGTTTCAAGTCACCGTGCTTCGCCACCTGTCGCCATGGCCAGGCCGTGGCGGCCTGCACCAGATGGTGGCGGACCACTCTGGGACACAGCTCGGAGACGTCTAAATCAAGGCCATCGTGGGTGGTCCACCGAAATGCGGAGCGCACTGACCACCCAACTCGTGCCAGCGAAAGCCGACACGCACTGAAGGGACCTGAAACTTGGGTCCACAAGGTGACGGCCGAAGCACCTTCCAATCCCACCCGCACCACATGCCTCGGCACCCACCCCTCCCACATCGCTCGACAGAGCGTGAGGACATGCATTAAAGTGGCGCGGAGGATCGGGTCAGCATCCTTCTCGCACATCAGAGACAGCGTGCGTGAGTTGCTCGCAGTGGCACTCGTCATACAAGCAAATGCCGTCCTTTGCAGGGTCTCAAGGTTAGACGTGGAACATCCAGGGACATTCATGCCATACGCCATGCTCGCCTTTAATCCAGAGCGTTAAACCTTCCGTGCAGCTAGCCGTTTCTTTTTCCCCGTACGAATAAGGTTTGTGCGACGTAGATGCGCTCGTGCACCCCGAAGACGTTCCTTACGCACAGCGTGCCCAACTCTCCGACCGCAGGAGAAATCAATCCCAAGGTTCCGCTCATGCTGCGTGGCTTCCGTGCCCATCTTAGCGTGCAGAAGTCGTGCAATCTCATCCCTCACACACTGCACATTGCACAACACTCTCGATTTGTCATCATGCACGCGTAAGTCCACCGCAGCGAAAGCTGCCTGTAACTCAAGCGAAACCTGTACCCACTCTCGTGCGACTCTCGACTGCGTGCCAATCCGATGCAGCAACAAATCATCAACTACGATGGTGGGGACGACTGCACGATGCAAACAGTACACAGAATCAAGAGCTCGAATCAACATGAGCTTGAGCATGCACGTAGCCCAGCCGTCTCCAGGGAGGACCGCCTGCTCGACCTCCATGGGCGACGACACAGCTTGTCCAAAACAACATAATCGTTCGGCACGGTACAGCTCACTATTCAATTTCAGTTGCCAGAGCGGGAATCCAGTAGCAACAGCATCTTCTAAATGCCAGTGATGCTCCACTTGCTCGAAGGCTTTCATCAAATCTAAGAGGACCGTTTCAGAGACCCCTATTCCCTTAGCGGATCCTTTAGCCTTAGTGGTGACATACTCCGACCAGGCCGTCTGTTGCCAGACGGCGCGATCGTACGATCTTCTTTTGGATCGCAGGCCTAGAGGTTGACACCAACACCAATCTCGGCGGTTTGCTTCCACCTGGGGAAGAAGATCCCGATCCCGGTGATGGTGGTAATATTCTGGCTTCCAAGGTGGTCGAAATATTACCACCAACACCGAAATCCAGGATCATCTTCCCCCTGTGGAGGCAACACCCTGTGTTGGT